TAATCCTATTGAACATCATAATCTAATGTGTAAGGAATCTAAACTCTAAATTATTATTTACTTTTGCCATTACATTATATATTCTTTTTCTTAAGATTTTGAACTGTTACAATTAAAATATATATAACTTAAATATCGTTTTTATAAATTTATAATTTGTTGAGTTTATCAACTATTTAACATATTTTTGCAAAAAAAAAACATAAGATTAATAAAATATTTATGTAGTACAAATTTAAAGTTTTATTTATTTATTTATTTGGTAATAATATTGGGACGGCTAAAATTTATAAAAGAAATTTCTCAAACATAAAAACTTGTGACACTTTAGATGAAAGTTGAGGACATAAACTTTCTAAAAACGTTATTATTATAAATTTTAATTATTAAACTTAGTTTATATTTCAATTAAATTCGTAAATGACTCTATTTATTTATTTTTATATATAATTTAATTTAAATATTTATATATATATTTATATATTTATTAATTAAGTTATATATAGTATACTTTTAATTGAAAACACATATTATTGGACTTAAATTGATTTTTTTTTTAAGAGAATGATGTAATAAAAAATAAAAAGTAAGAAAAAAAATACTGATAGAGTGTTTTTATTTCGTTACACGTTAAATTATTCTAGACATTTTTTTTAAAATTTTTTTTTATTATGAGAACAATTAGTTATTATATTTTATTAAATATAATGTATTAATGCGTAATCTATACGTCATATCTGCCGGCCTATTGCCACAACTTTTATTACTTTTGTTCATTTTTCTATTATGGCCTTTTAGTTTTCTCGAAGTATAATGATTCCAACAATATTTGACAAAACTCCAGGCGCTTGAAGTTGTCACTTTTACTCTCTACGGAAATTCGTTGGAGTGCCAAAACAGGAAACCGGGTCCAAGCTTAACTGATTAGGTAAATTAATTGAATTGACAAATGTTGCTTGAATAGTTTAAAACCTCCAAATTGGTCTGATTAGATTTGCAATTCCGTGAAACAAAATTAAATTTGGTTAACTTTTTATAAAATATAATTAGTGATTTTATATATATATATTTATATAAAGTAAAGTAAATTTAGTTATAAATTAATTGATAAATGTGGGGATCTCTCTGCGTCAGCCGAGCACCCCAGCAGTCCAGTCAGATTTTTTTTTTTGTCTTTATCATAAGAATATGAAATCTCGCATGCACACAATAATCATATTCTTTCGCGAATTTATATAAATGTACTCATAAAAGTATAGTTGAATTTAAATTTATAATTTTATAAACTCATATTTAAATAAAGAATACACTAATTATTTAATTATATAGTAGTTGATAAATTATGATTCTTTGATAATTATATAATAATTCTATAGTCTTTAAGGGAAATACATGATGGGTAACTTTATATACAGACCACACACTTTTTATGTAAGAGTAAATAGTTCTTGAAAAATAATTGATAATTATTACAAAATGTCATTTTGTAATGATTTGAAAAATAATTTTTTAATGATTATGAAAAATAATTTTTTTAGTTATGATGAAGTTTAGACTTTTTTTTTTCTTAGCTTTTAGAAATGTCAATAATTCAATTTTTGGTTTTAATAAATTGTTGGTCCACAAAAGTTTTTTTTTGGTGCAGATCTTATAATAAATAAATAAACATAACATATATTTGACTAAGAACAAACCATTGCCGAGTTTACCAAACTTGTGTTTCGTCCAATTCAATCTTATTTTAGCTTGTTAATATTCTGGTTATATTTTTTTTTTGTTTTAAATAAAATTCAAAATTTATGTTTTTCTAATAAAACTGAAATTATGTAAAATATAAAAATTAAATCAACCTTATAGTATAAAATGAACGCGCCAAGAGGGTTAAAAACACATGCAAAAATATTGAATTTAAGAAGATAACATTAAAAAGGAACTGAAATATTAACTCTCACTTGTATTATTATTTTATTCAAATAATATAAAATATTATTCCATTAAATTTGTTTCTTAATAAATTTTTAGACTTCGGCTACTAAGAAATATAGACTTTACAAATAAAATTTGATGATTGACTTTTAATTATTATTATTTATATATATATATATATATTTTCCATACATAAGTGATGTGGCACTAGATATATTTTTAGCCTGTGTATAATATCTTATGAGAATATAATATAACGTAAATTAATAAAAATAAATATGTATAAAAATATTTGCTATCATAAAATTTTATCTATTTTCTATGTTCGTAACATACATACAAATTTGTAAGAATGAAAATCCTATAATGTAACACCCACCTAAAATTTCTTTTTTATTTTTTATTAATAAATATAATTTTTTAATTTATTTTAATTTAATGAAAAAAATTGAGTAAATTATAAAAAATTAAATTGAAAATAATTTTGAAAAAAATAGGTAAAAATTTAAGTTCTGAAGGTATTTTTGAAAGAAAAATCAAAAATTAGGGGGTCAAAATATAATTTAAAAAAATTATGTCACGTCAGACGTCCGGTCAGCAGCCCCGACCAACCAGGATGCGCCAAGTGGCAGAGACACTGATGCGAGAGGCCACGCGGGGGGAGCTACGTGGGCGATCCGCGTGCGCGCGATCGAACAGCTGATGTCCGTTCTCATGTGCACGGACGGCCCAGAGTGAATTGCGCACGGACGACGCAGATTGGATCGCGATGAACGACACAAATTCACTCCCTATTTAATCACGATCGAACGGTCCAGATAAAAAACAATTGATGACCCAGATAAGAAACAGATGTGTATAAATAATCTCATCCGCACCCAAACCCAAACTCTAACCGCCAGAACCCCTCGCCGGACAAAGACAATCCAGCCACCGGGGAGCCGACCGCCGCCATCCACCGCCGCACCGGAACCCTTTCCGACCGCCAAAAAAGATAAAAATTTCTCTTTTTGTACGAAATTCAATTTTAAATCCACCCATGACCAAATCAAAGTGAAAGAACCAGCAAATTGGCCGAAAAATACCGACGAAGCTCGGCGGTGCCGCCGCAGGGAATTTCACAAACCACCTCCGATGAGGCTCTTTCCGATTCCTGTTTCGTGTAATTTTTTCAACGTTGTGATCACCGTTTTCTTTTCTACAGGTTGATTGAAGCGAAACACCTAACCACAACGTGAGCCGAAGGAGCTGCCGCACTAGAGAGCCCTGCCGCTAGTGAGTTTCAGTTTTTCGTATTTTTTCGGTCCACTGAGGCCCTTTAGCGTGTATGCTCGCAGGAATCAATGTAAAATCGACCGAATTTGGCTGAAAACAGCCAACTCGAGGCGGACCGCCGCCGCGGACGATGGTACCGTCGCCGGAGCACGGTGGAGCCGCCGTGCCAGATTTTCAAAATTGGTCGAATAGGCCCTGTGACTGATTTTGGGTTTATTTGAGACATTTGTAGGTACTATAAGTACGTTTCAGTTCCCGGAAGAAAATTCAGGGAACTTAGCGATCGCCCGTAAGCGCAGTAAACTATTTAGCTTTTCGACGTCAAATCAAGTAAGGACCTCTCACCTTATTTCCTATTATAAAATTGAAGTTTGAATAAGTAATAATACAATATTTTGTAAAAATTAAATATATGTGAATAATTAATTATGGATTGTTAATGGAGCCCGAATTGGACATTGTTCTCTGTTGATTTATTTTACAGTCTAAAAGTATGATCGTATCTGTTTTATCTATTTTATGGTTTAAATATATCTATTACTGCCTTACTTGACCGCTGTTTGATTTTGAGATTTGAGACATGATTGCAATACCGAATTCATGTTTATTTATTTATGTGATTATATTTGATTTGGTAATTGAGACTAAGAAAAAACAGGAAATGGGTATGATCAAATAAACAGATATAATGACAACCTTACTATATATCATAAGAGATGGTAGATAGACTGGGTATGTAGGGAACCCTACCGTGAACGTTGTCTCATACCGGACGGAGTTTGGAGATTAGGTAGTTTGACACTCATATCGGACGTGGTATTGAGGTTTAATGTCTTTGCGCTCATACTGGACAGGGTATGGGGACAACCCTGTAATTGAAATTATTAAGGAAAATGGTTTACATGTAGTGGGGACACCCATATGAACCCCCATGGATACTAGTAGGCTGGTAAAATGAGAAACGGTTATAATTTAGTTTATTGTTAATGAATATGAATTTATGATATATTTTATGTTACTGATTGTTCATGAAATTCTGATCTGTATGGTATTATTGTCTTTATAGGTTGTTTTCATAAATTTCACAATGGTAAGTGAACGGTAAATGATTTTATGATTGATAAACAAATTTGCTAAATTTAGTGTTTCATTAGTTGTTTTTGTTTTTATACCCACATTTATTTATGTATCGGTGATATAATGTGATATCCTTACTGGATTAGTGTAGCTCATCATTTATTTAACCATTTCAGATAAAGAGAACCTGGTTTCAGAGCCTGATCAGCAAGAAGATTGCGAGTAGATGATATATATTTTTTATTTTATATACTTTTATTATTTCTCGTATTTCTTTTTGAAAATTCATTTCATAATCTTTGTTTAGTACTTTTAAGTTATTGTGTAAGGGATGTAAACCTTAATATTTTATTTCGCTTCCGTACATAAATTATTATATATTTTCTTTTAAATTTTCGAGATTGTTACATATATATGTTGAAAGTTGATTAAATCAAACTTTAGTCTCAAAAAAAATCTCTTATAGGAAGCCCTTAAAGAAGTACATGGAATAATATTTGTTCGCTATTATAAACCATGTGCAGGGACAAAATTGCAAGTTTGATTTTTTTTTTGGGTGTTCAATTAACGTTTTGTATTAAAAAGAGGAGGTAAATGTATATTTTATAAGTATAGAAAAAATTGTGTAGAATATTTTAAATTATAGGGCGATTTATGTAATTTGCAAAAATAAATATATTCCAGGAGACCGCCTCGGGCTTGTCAGACACTGAACTGCTTTGCCTGCCCTCCCTCAATTTCGAAAATCTCAAATACGCGGGTCGGAACCTCTGAACTAAAATAAAAAAGGAGGAAAACCCAGAAGAAGGCTCGATTTTTTCTCCATCTTCCGAGGAGAAATGGATTTGGACCCGGATGAAGTTTTCAGAGACGATGAAGATGACCCAGAGAACCAATTCCATCAGTATTCTCTTATTCCTTTGCAACGACGCCTGTCAACTTCTGGTTTACAGTTCAAATATTTTATGTTCAATATATATGTTACATGGGGTTTTACTTTGTGGTCTGATCATTGTTGTTTTATTGTTATTTACAGGACAGAGAGGTTACCAAAGAACTTGTGGTTTTCTTGGTGGATGCTTCCCCGAAAATGTTCAGCACCGCTTCTCCATCAGTACGTCCCGTTTACTTCAACAAAAATCAATAACCTTTTTTTGATAATGACAAAAACTGTGTGGAGCATTTGTGAATTACACTTCTTTTTTTATATGCAGTAAGTTCTTTTTGTAATTTTCTCCTTCAAACATGGTCAATTTGAAAAATTTTGTTGTCTGCCTAAGTTATTGGTAGAGTTGGGGGAGAAAATGTTTCTAAGGAAGGTTTGTATTGTTTGATTGTGATCAAAAGTTGGTAGTATGATGATGATAATGATCATATTTTAACTAAAATTCGAAAAATTTATAAACTGGTATGGTGGTCGGCGCAATACTGAAGTTGTTGGTCTTATTCCGAAAATTTCTCTTGATGCTTATTTGTTTTTTTTGGTTATGTAATGATCTTCCTTGTCTTCTTGTGTCAAGTATAACCAAACAAGGGCTGTGAATATTACTGGAGATGTATGTTACTTTCTTCTTTATATTGCTATTGAATAAAAAAGGTATATGTAAATATGGAGCCTTGGAGAGTTTGCTTCTAGGTTGGAAAAGACATGAAATCTTCCCTTTTAGCAGAGGAAAAAGGAGATAGGAATTAATATCTGTTGATTGACATCCACAGGCAAAGGAGGATAAATGACTACAGGGGACAAAGTAATTACTCATTATACTCATATACCCTTCTCACCGGCACTTCTTGTAAACTGTTCTAACTCTCCATGCCTCATTCCCTTGCACCCATGGGTATTGATAGGCTTCAAAAGGTGGTAGAAATCTATCCAGTTTCTGCCACCGAATCTTACATATCTTGAATTTCAACTCACCTACACATCCGTATATTGACTTTCAGCATGCCTACACATAGGTTTAGATGAAAGTCAGTTTTGAGATCTCCATGTTGGGTGGCTTTGTGGGCAACAAATGCTCACTTCTCTTTGGTCTTGACGTCAAGAAATATGCATGTGTAATTAAATTCAAGCTAACATTACTGTTACACATGCAAACTGTATTTTGGAGTTTGTACTATTTGCTGGTACAACTGTCTATTAGTAGTTGAGGACTAAGGTTAATCACTGGTAACTTAAGACAGTTTTAACAGAAAACAGAAAGAAGGGTAACAACTGAACAATTTTAGTGCTTCTCATGTAGCTACCAGCAGTATTATAAGCTTAAACTGTTGCGTACTAGGTGTTTATTTAACATGGTTGTCCATGAAAATATGTTAATATTATGTTTCGAGTGTGGTCATCAGTCTCATCCTCTATTGTATCTGCGTGCTTCTTGTGATATGGTTCATAATTACGAAGCATTTCTCTGTCATGTGATTGCTAGGGTACTCATCACCATCAAATACATATATGACAGCATATAATGCATTCTGTATGTTTACCTTTTGTGCACATCTGCAGGCAGCCTAATAACAGGTATATCTGTTAAATAAAACAAAAATCCAAGTTCAAGTGCCCCCCTCTTCATGTAGAGACAATATCTTTTGATGTTAAGAGTGGTAACATAAGCCCAGAGGATGTTGACCATTGAGGGTTGAATCGCTAATTTCACTCTTTAAAGCGATTTGGTTCCTTTGTTATCCAGGATTGCTCAGCATACAAAGGACATCAACTCTCTGTGACCATCTGTAGTTTTTTTGTGTTGTACAGAATGAGGAAGGCTATGTTTGTTGTTTCCTGCAGGTTCAATTGTTCCACATCATATGATACCTGGTTTTGTGTGTCATCTCAATTTTAATCCTGTAATTTTGATTGACAGTACTTGATTTTTTAATGGTGGTAGGAGGATCAGAAGGATGAAACTCATTTCCACATTGCTGTTAGTTGTATTGCACAGTCGTTGAAAACCCAGATCATTAATAGATCATACGATGAAGTTGCAATCTGCTTCTTTAATACTGTAAGATGTTGCTCAGTAAATGTATTTTTTGTTTTTCCAATGGTTTATGATTTAATGTATTCTGCTTTCTTTTGGTTATCCCTTGATGTCATTTGTGGCTTTCATAATCATTGCTTCAGTTTACAGTTAGGTTGTCTGGTTCTAGGATCATGTGTTAACTTTGACATGCCCATTTTTTTTTCCTTCCCATGTCATTTGCAGAGGGAAAAGAAGAACCTGCAAGATTTAAATGGTGTTTATGTCTTCAATGTTGCTGAAAGAGAAGATCTAGATAGGCTGACAGCAAAGCTTATAAAAGAATTTGATCTTGTTGAAGGTAACTCCTAAGGTGAATACAGTGTACACTGTATTCCAAGGTCATGAATATTGTATTTCTTATTTTAGTATTTATTTCTTTCATTGACTTTGTCTTGTTCTAGAATAAATTTTGCCGTTAAAAGTTCCCATAGCTTTAAACTTCATTAGGTTTTAAATTATTTTGTTCATGGAAGATAGTAGTAACTTATAATAACTACTGTTGAATTCATATGTCACTATTTAATCACTTTTCACCATATTAAATTCCATTTCGATATGGTTTATTTGATTTTCTTTATGTTTTGTTGGTAAAAAAATTTTTGCTTATATAATCATTTAGTTCTTTTAGGGAGCAAGAGAGGTTGCCATCTTCTTTTATCAGAATAAGCTTCTAGTATGACTTGTTGTTGACTTTTTATTTTTTAGCAATATACAAGTTCCAGGGATGAGAAAAAGGAAAAGTACAATTAATTACAAAAAGTGTATTTTACTTTAATATTGATTATCCTAGTTTAGCCCTATTTATACATAAAATACATTGTTTAACTTGAATAACAACGTTTCTCCAAAGAAAAAGAAGAATCATGGTTAAAAAGTACTCTCACAGAAAAGGACTTTCAGGTGAGACCCTTTTGGTGACGGTATCCAATGTTGAAATTTTCTGGAACT